GAAGATAACAGATAGCCTTCGAATGCTATATAAGCGCACGCAGGCAAGGAAGAAGTACCCATTCAACTGCGCACTGATGATGTCTCCTCGTATGGTGACGAAACGTTTGCAAGCCAATTGCCAAGCTCCGCGAACAGATCAACAGCCACCTGATCAACAACCAATAAACTCACCCGAGCTACTAATATTTCAACAAATTACCAACTAGTATTTCTTTAAGTCTACTTGCGACTCGCGGAGCCAAGCACTCTGTGTGATTAGCACTAGTCATAAAGTTGAAGCTTCAAACTGAGTCTAGGTTTGTAGTCACTGATGCCGTGAAATTCATTCAACCGCGGCCCTGGGGCTCAAGTTGACCGGTGTTTATTGGACACACGCACCGCGTAAAATTTCGACCTTACGGAAACAATAACATTGAAGCTGGTAGGGTCATAGGAAGGGAACAAAGTGCGTAACATGAATGTTTCATCGGGTAGTCTCTGTGAAGACAAATCACTCGTTTGGATGGATGACAATAGCTGTTGTCTTCAGCCCCCATAAAATCCTTCGAGGGGACGCCGGAAAGTGCATTTTCTCGTGCTCGAATTACGTTTTTTGAATGCTTTTATATGGGAATTTGCTAGCAAACATGTACTAAAGGAAAAGAAATCGATCATCACAGTTATTTTCGGTTGATTGCTCACAGAAATATAAAGAGACTGCTACGTTTCAGTCAGTTTGTTTGTCGATGCACAAGACACATTGTTTCCAGCTGCTACAGTTTGGATCACCGGCAAATAGGAAAACTTAGGAGGTGGTACTAAGCGTTGGAGGCGATGGCATGATCTTTTCCAGATAAGACCTGCTGAAAGATTAATGACTGCCACCCAAAAAAGATTAGGAAAAAAGGGATATGAAGTTTTTTTCAGTTTCTACTGACGAGGGCGAACTTGGGACGTCATTAATAATTTGCAGGAAAAGGTCCGTTTTTCCGGTACCCTTGCCTCCAAACGAACTCACACAAGTAGCTGTCGACTAAAGATCGGCGTACGTTGGCAGATCCTTCCGAAAATCCACCGCTGGGGAAGGACTCACCCTGCGCGGTTTCTACGGCGAAATATTATCGTTTCATCGATTTTGACCTGTAGACCTGGGCCGCCGATAACTGTTGGAGACTGCAAAAGCCGCCAGATGCAAACTTTGCGGTCGTGTAGCTAACAGATAATTCCTCTGAGTAGAAGTTGATTTTTACCAAATTTTCGGACCAGCAATAAATGAATAGAATTACTGTCCTAAACTCCATCCAAGACCGCTTCATCCAAGTTCCCTTCCGATGACCGATTTCTTGCCGATACTGTCCGGCATTCCATTTCCACCGGTCAGAAACGGTTGAAAGAGTCATTTGGGGGCCATTGTTGCATGAACGCTGCTGACGGATCACTCCGTGGCTTTGCAAAAAACGTATTGCCGTCTCCTTGTCATGAACGAGAGTTGAAAGCGTCAGGAAGTTCATTTGGGGTTTTACGTCCGAACGGAGAAAATTCTTGCACAAATTGAGCCCAGATGCGGACAAGGAATTGTTTTAATCAGAAGTAAGTCAAGGTTGTGTGCGTACATTAAATTGGAAATGGCAAAAAATGGTGGGGCTTAACTTCTGCACATGCACTTTTTGCATTAGTGGAGGGCTTATCGGGAAATGATCCAACACGGTTACCAGGATGATACCCGAGGTTTTCTCAATTACGCTCCTGTACCCCTCTCTGAAAACTGGGTTCACAGTCCAGATAATTCATCCTGCTGGTGAAAGGAAGAAGGCCTTAACTGCGGAGTTACTTATTAGAAAACGCCAACTGAACATTTAAAGGCTATTGGACAGGGAAGCAAAACTATCGTATGCACTCATCTGCAAATCAATTTGGTTTTCACGGGAGACTCAATTGAATCTCTCGTTTATGATGTTCTCCAGCTGAATGTGCTGCACACAGGCCGCCTCATGATTCAGTTGGCACGATATTCGAGATATCGAAGTATATTTTCATAAAGGAAACTACTCACAAGGTTGCTGAAAACTCTTTGACAGCCCACGAATAAGGTTGACGGAAACTCGGGGACTGCGCCTACCTGATGAGCCCCAAGAAGGGCGAAACCGGTCGTGGGCTGTCAAAGAGTTTTCAGCAACCTTGTGAGTAGTTTCCTTTATCGTATGTACCCTTTTTACGAAACTGAATATCCATATTCTCTTTGGACGCGTCTTCCTGAACTTTCCAGGATATTCATTGACTGATGCTCAGATGCAAGCAAATGCTATAAAGCGACTCCACGAATTCCGTAATAGATCTCACCTTTCAAGAGACGCGAAGCGGATTTACGAGAAAACATGCTACTCGCATGCCTCCCTCATCAGTAGTATCACCGTTACACTGGTAATTTGTTCTCTTTCTAAATATTCCCTAATAAGATTGTCAAACTGTTCTCCGAGACAATTCTTGCGTTGTTTGATTGGCCGGCTTAGAATCCAGGCCTAGCAATTTAATCATGCAGGTTAGGAGAGAGTGCAAGAGTTACCAATGAAGAAAATATGGCGGGAGCCAAATACATGATTGCGACTGAACAGTACTCTGTCGTCGGTCATTAATTAAGACTATTCACTAAGCGGCTATCCAAGGCAGAACAAGACAAGAACGCACGCCCTCGTTCGATCAACCAATGACGCATAAACTGTGGAGCTAAAAAAACATGGTTTGATTTCTGGATCGATATCCGGCTGAACTGTACTCACGCCAGTAACGAATTTATGCCCACATCAATACTGAACAAAATAGAGGCACAGAGCATAGATGTTTAACCTCAATCCAAGTGGACGAATAACAAGAATAACCTGGCTAGCGGCAAGGTGCGTATTCGGCATTTTACGCCGAAGTACTGGTGAAACGGCCGCGCGAACCCCATTAGCCTCGAAGGGTGGAAATTGAGAAAATGGGGCAGATTGTTCAAGTTTATCCTCCGGTCCTGATACGTAGAAGCAAACAGTCAAAAAAATCCTGGTAAAATTGAAGGGCTTTTTTGCTCATAAGTTAGGGAATCTCTTGCATTCGTTCTTCATTCATTACCTCTAATTCATGCATCCATGGGGAAAGGTTGGGTTCTATGACCACTAGTCTGCCGAGTGTGTTGCACGTGAGCAAATGTTTTTTAATCGTTTAGCTAACATGGTACCACAGGTAAGCTGGATATAGGAGCGGCTTACGGAACTGCCTGGCTGTCCAGTAATGCGCTCTGAGGCTTCTCAGACAGTTGCTTGTTCCAAGTAATTCGGCAAGGACTTCTTTGTCAAAACTACTTCGTAGAGATTTCGTCTCAGCTGGATTTGTGTTCGGTGGTAAGATCTGTACATTCCTCATGTATTTTTGCACACAATATTCACATGTTTGGCTGCTTAGCGAGATATCATTAACAAAAGACGACCTTGGTTGGCTATGACATCGATTCGTTCCGCGTCCAATGTCCCTACTCTAATTCAAAGTGAGGGAGATTTGAAGTCACATGATGGCACTCAGTTCATTATCTTCGGTGATTGGACAAGAAACGAATAAAGAACAAAAGCATGTGAGTGTGTGAAACACACAAACATCAACTGAACTTGTAAAACAAACTACACCCGTTCGGTGCTAATAGATGACTAGTGTGTTGTCCAAAGGCCACCTCATGTTTCAGGTCGTGAGCTATTCGATATATTGCAGTACAGTTTCTTCACGGAATACTACACATAAGGTTGTTGTAGCTCTTCGCCAGCTCACTTTTGTCCTGAGGGTGTAGTCTCCGGATTTCTGTCAGCCCAATGCTGCACTTTGCGTTCTACTCAAGCACTAAATTGTGCGCAGATGGCGAAGTGTGTCTAATCACGATCGACCAGGTGAGTATTGCATGTGCCCCATATTGCCTTGCTTCCTTTGATGACGATTGTTTTAATTTTCCGGTGCCTGTACTGTACCAGTGCAATCCAACATCTCTGTCAAGATCCTATGCAGGGCACTCCACCTTTCGTAGGCTCATCACGCGTGTAGCGCTGCATCAGAAGGACAGAGTAAAGTCGATAGCTGCGTCTAATCCGATGACAATGGTATCAAAGTTGGAAGGCTGCTAATTTTTAAGCGCAAGTGTCAGGCAAGATCTAGCAGTTGGGTTGGTCTACCTTTTATCTAGAAAATACGAGAGTGAATGAAATTTGACCTGGAATGGAGGTTAAAGTGGATGGAGGGTCACTCAAATTAAAGATGCAGCGGAGGGTGTCATGCAGCGATAAGAATTGCTGATTCAGTCACATTCGGCTAGCAGCAATTCAATTTGGATTCAAGTAAACCCTTGCTGAGTCGCGCATCATAGGTCCCCCAGCTTCAACGTAACCTTAGTAGGAAGGACGGTCGTGTTATAATCACGACAAATATCGTTGCAATCTGAGATGAAGTTAAGGCGCAAACGCGAAATCGATGGCATGAGCCATACCTCACTGAGTAGTACTCGACGCCAATCAGGGAAATCGATGGCATGAGCCATACCTCACTGAATAGTACTCAACGCTAATGTGAGGCACGTGAAGTTTGTCGTTGGTAAAGCGGTCCCGTTAATTCCTAGTATGATAATCGGGTGGCTGGTCTTTCCGATAACCTTA